CGAAGAGATGTTGGAAGCGCAAAATGATGAGGGGAAAAGAGAGGAAATTGCGAAATGCATGAGAGTTCTCGTAAACAACAACCGTCCCAGAAAGAAAATAAGGGATGAAGAAGCAGAAGGAGAAGAGAATAGGGCAATTCAAGGAGAATAGAGAGAATTGAGCAGGTGGAAAGAAAAAGGTTGTCTTGGTTACCAGATGTGAATCGTGGGATAATTTCTGAGTTTGAAGCTCAGTCACTGATTTTTTTCCCCAATACAACAATGGTACACTAACAACACTCCATCACTATTTGGCCCAGCTGGAATCCAGAATAGCCTTGAAGGAAAAAAACAGAATTTTCTAATAGAAGGGCCCTTAGAAGGGCCCTCTAATAGAAGGGCCCTTAAACTTCTAACTTTTAACCGATTTTTCTCTGTTCCTGTAAAAGATATCAAAAAGTTGGTAACTGATGAATTTTTTATCATAATATCAAAAGCGTTTTGTCAGTTGACACATTTTTGATATCTTGCATAGGAATCGAGATAACTGAGCTCAAACTTCAAAAAAAGGTTTTACGATAGATGGATGATAAAAAAATATTCTTGTTGCTATGGTTTCTTTTCAATTTGATCAAAGGTTCTCTTGATGTGCAGAATTCCAATTAATCAGAACGTTGATTCCTCAGAGTTCTTAATTGTCTAATTCGTTCTCTGTAATCTAATCAGCAACCCCAAAAATCTCGTCTCACCAGAAATGCAGACTTCCGCCTTCTTACCGTATCTCAGTCGTCGTCTTCTATTTCACCAAAATTATCCCCCTAGTCCTTCAGGCTCTCTTTAATTATAGGTTTGAATCCCTCTGTAAATTTCGTAACACCGCCTATTCCTTTTTTTTTCCCCAACTTTGCTGACTCATCGTTGTTTCTCTCTACATTCTCGATTCTCCGTAGCATAAAGAATTGTATATATTCCGATCATGACGAGAGGCAATGTGATTCATTTTCTATCCAACTTTTTTTCCTTGGGTTCAAAAGTTTTGGTTTCAAAGTTAGACTGAAGACAGACAAAAAGATAACCGTATCTAAGAAATGAGTCATTACTGCTTCCGATTTGTGAAAACAAACAAAAAAGCAAATAACTTTTTTAAAAGCCAAATTTTGAATTATTTTGGTGAGAACCTAAAGAATTATTTATGTCTTTCGAACCATGGTTTCTTATTTTGAATGGGTCTTTTCTCTCTTTTTCTATTACTCTGTGCCACGGCAGTAAATAACAAAAATGTACTGTACCTAAAGTGATATTTGCCAAGTGACGCATTCAATCAGACCATGTCTCCCACTCAAAAGTACAAGTTTAGAAACGGAATAAAATGGGAAAAAGAACAACTTATGCTTTTCTCGTCTCCAGTAGTTGAGAAGAAAAAACAAAATTCGAACCAATATATGTTTTTACCTCCAACCTTTATTTTTTTTTCTCTTCTTCTTTTTTTTTTTTCAAAAAACCTCTCATATACCAATATCTGGCTCCCCTTCTCTTCTTCTTCACTATTAGTCAACGCTCCTGCTCCCAACAATCCGCCACATGTTCGTTATGCCTGGGTCTCTATTTGGCGTCCGCGTCCCTCGATCTTCCGTTCACTCCTCATCTGCCCTCCTATCCTTCCATCCTCTTCTTCCTCGCGTCCCTTCTCAGTCGGGGCGAAAAAGAGGGAAAAAAGATGTTGTGGTCGCCGTCGTCGTCGTCTCTTGCTTATCCTCCCTTTTCGCATGTTGCTTTTTCTGTTTTTCGCTTGTTTCCTCTCCTTCTCTCTAGACTACGTTTGGTCTATTTTCTTGAGCCAAGTAGTCATTCGAATTCAATTATTCTATTCGGAATAGTCTCTTTCAATGAATCCACACTTTTTTTCTGGTATTTGCTCGTAGAATTTAATGATTCGTCGCATGATTCATCTTCTCGATCAACAAACTTTTTTGCTTTTTTGCCCTCCCACTTTTTTCTGAAGAAACTTATATCAGTTTTGACACCTTCCGACCCTGTGCCCTTCTTATCAGTGACGTGCTCCAATCAGCTGACCCACTTTTTAAAGTTGTTTGAAAAGAGGCCTTCTATGAAAGAAGCTTTTTAGCAATGGCTTCTTTATTTTCTTCATTCCGTTCTCATTTTCTTCGGATCTCTCCGTCGCGGGCGCCACACTATCCTGTTTTCATTTGCCTCCGTTTTACGAGTTCGGTCCTCAATTTCACGTCTCTGAAGCCGATACATTGTCTCCTGCGTAGACGACACTCCTCTATGGCTTTTTATCTTTGATTCAGTTCCCCTTCTCGGTGGTAATCCCCAACACCTACATTTTTGAATTTATTTTTCTAAATTTTTGAAAAACAGAAGAACCCATTTTTAAAATGTGTGCGTTCTAACGTGGCGGTGTTTGCGTACAAACAAGTCGGCTGAAAATTTTTCAAGTTGCCTTCCTTCAAAAAATAATTTTATCCCCCAAATCCAGTTTTTGATTTACTTTTTTGACTTAAAATAAAAAAAAGCAAAAATTTTTTATTAGCAACATTTACCTTCAAAAAAACGATTGAAAATTTGTGTTTGACCTGCACAATATTTGCTCTACCCCCTTTATACTGTCACCCGCGAACACACAGTTAAGCGCGAGCGGCGCTCTCTATTCTCCTCCAATATTCCCCGCTCCCTTCTCATCTCATTTGCCGTTTATTCTCACACATTTTTTGAATTAACTACCATTAACCGCTTCCGCGTTTCTGTCTCCCGAGTTTGAAAGTTGTTTTACACTCATTTACTCCTGTTTTTTTTTCAGTCAGCGCTGCCTGTAAGACCCGACAAGTCGGCAGCAATGCTCACGCTTCTGGAGCCGCCCGGGGCGAAAAGATCCCCGAATGTCGGCAATTACAACAACAGATCGGCTCAACACTTGTTAAATCTAGGTAAAAAAAATAAAAATAAAAAATCCGCACACGAAAAACCCATTTTTTCAGCTCCAGACGAAGAAGATTTATATGAAACATACGACGAGAATGAGGACTATGCGGAGAACGAAAGAACTGGTAATATCCTGACCAGGGTAAGTAAATTGAAATTTCAAAGCTATTTACTAACTGAAATAGTAGACATTTCAGTTTCTGGACCGGTACCTCGTCGGACAATCATCATCTGCCGATTACAATGATCGATGGAAACGGGAATTTCGTGCGAGGCCCTCATGGTGCGATGCTGATTTGTGTCTGCAACAAATGAACCGGGTAAGGTCGCATTTTAAAATAATTGATGTCGAACCCAAAGCTCATTTATCATTGAGACTATTTGTCTCTGTCCCTGGCTCCGTCTGTGCGGTTCTCTTAGTTTCCCTTCCTCCTTTTAACGTTCTGTGTAGAAAATGCAGCTAGCAGTTGGGAAGCACGACGAAGTCGTTAAGAACAGCTGCTGTATTTGTAAGAGAAAGTCTAAAAGGGTCAACTGCTTCTCATTAGTTCAATTATCTCTTAAAAGTTTTTTTTGTTGAGAACTTTGAAGTTTGGAGTCTTTGAAATTCGACATTCTTGGCGTTAAATTACTCACCTTGGCGGCAATCGAATGAAAACGGAAGCCAAGTTGAAGTGTTCATTCTACTCTAGGCGCCACTTTGCATACATATATTTGCACAGTTTTGCATTTCCGCAAAGTCAATTTCCCACCCAAAGTGTCAATCGTCTACCATAGTTTTTGACTTCATGGATACTATCTTGAAAAAGTATAGTCTTAGTTCAGATTGTTCGTATAGAAGGATTCGAAAATGAGATCTTTTTCTTTTTCGTTTGAAGGGCACATACTACTAGTAGTTGAATTAGGCGGTTTCCTTCTCGTTTTCCTCTTTCTTGCTCTTCTCTAGACCACCCATCTTTTCATTTCGAAAAGAAAGGCACATGAAATTGGAAGGAATGGAAGAGAAGGAAGAGATGAGGGTTATTCCACATTGGTTTCCAAATTGAGAAAGACGATTGATGCAAAGTGACGAGAATAAAATAAGCGTACCAATGCTAATTGCTGGTTTTCCCGGTGTTCAGTTTAACGGATATCCGGAAAATGTTGAATTTTCCGGCATATTTTTCTCCGAGATTGTTCAAAGTTTTTACGATAAAACGGGGTCTTTCTATTTTTTCAAGCTCCTCTTGGAGTGCCTTCCTATTAGAAGGACTGGTTTTACGGTAACTGAAATTTGAATATTATGTTGAGATTATATGTACGGCACAAATTTGTATTTGATCAATCCAGGACGTTGATGGGGCCGTGAAATTCGACTTACACGCAGAAGTTTCGTTTATCAGTCCCAGAATCTAAACGCCATTATCGTCATTTGGCGCCATAAATCCTTTGTTCCCCTCTCCCACCATTTAATATCAATTGCACGGAAAACCGCGTATCCAAGGACGAATTTGGGTTCTTGAATCATCTCCTCTGAGCGGACAGAAATGAGTCAATAACCTTGAAAGTGTCGCAAATTCATCTTCCTTTTTCTCCAGTCCATTCCATTTTTAAAGTGCATAATATAAGTGAAAGATGATCACCATGGGTGAACTGATCAAAGTGCGCGGCAAGCACATATTTGCGGCTATTGCACATATCAAACAGGGCTCTTTTTGAAACATGAGTAGTTGTGAGAGAAACTTATTTTGTCTTCAGTCGTACCCTTCTAGTGTTTTTTTTCTGACTCTACGTGCTCAACTCATCAAATGTGAAATGATGAAACGAAGGAGCACAAAAAAGTTGCCAAGTTTTTATGTGAAGACTGGCTGGGGTGACTCGCAAGTATTGGGTGACAAGAGGCGGTGTAATGGGACGAAAGAACAGGGGTCGGGGCATGAAAAGAAGAAATACGTGATATAGCGAAAGTGAAGTTATGCATTTTTGATGGATGACCCCAGGGAAACGGGATTCTAGAGAAGTGGGTGCTTGAGAAACAAAGAAAATGGGAACATATGATTTAGGTTTTGAAATCGATTTTGCATTTTTTCAGGGAAAAGCTACAGGTAACCGGTATGCTCTCTATTCGAGAAGTCTGATCCAGAAGCTTCTCTTCGCTTTGGGAAATGCCGTCCATCGGAATGCGTGGTCCATAATCCTTGTTGTTTCGATGATATTTGCATTCTGTTGCTATGGTCTTCAGTACGTGCATATCGAAACAGATATTGTGAAATTATGGGTAGCACAAGGTGGTCGGCTTGACGAAGAACTGAACTTTTTACCGAATATGAAAGAACTGATGAGAAACGAATCCGTTGATTCTGGGCCAGAGATTCCGAGAGAAAATGGCTTGGGTGGTGGATATCAAGTGCTGATTCAAACGCCCGAATTCGAAGGACAGGATGCATTAGCTCAAGGACCGCTCCTGAAACATGTCGAAATTATGAAGCATATTGCAAGTTTCAATGTATCTGTTCATGGAGTGTAAGTTTTCTTTAATTATTTGAAACGTTTTTCAATCAATGATTTTCCAGTGACTGGTCTCTCTCGGACATCTGCTTCAAACCAGCTCCTCCCTCGGTGTCCCCAGATTCTCCTGCCGCTTCTCTGAGCGATGTAATTGATAAAATCGTACCATGTATTTGGATTACTCCGATTGATTGTTTCTGGGAGGGATCCAAAGCCCTTGGGCCACATCCATCTCTACCGAAATCAGCACTTGGCCTTGTTGGAATGTTGCTCAAAGCCCTTCCAGACCACGACATGATTCGGTGGTCAGACTTCGATCCTATCAAAGTTATTGACGAAATCCACAATTCCTTCAATCTTGGCTCACATTACACCTTTTTCGAGAGAGCTGGTGTTGGTCACGGATACATGAACCGTCCATGCATTGATCCTCTCGATCCAGAGTGCCCTCCAATGGCCAAAAACTATTTCGATGTGTGCCCACATGTCGATAAGATTCGGGAAGTCGCCTCGAAATACGGTCAAGAACTGGAACAGGAAAAGCAGAAAGATACTGGGTTTGATGTGTTTAGTTTCTTCGGACGTAAGAAAAGAGAAACTGATCAACAACCACAAATGATCCATCCTGCTCAACCAGCTGATTCCATTCCGGTTGTTGAAGGAGCTGTTCCAGCAGACATTCCAGTTACCGCTGATCCAGTTACAACAACAACGACTTTGTCCCGGGAAGAGGTTGAGAATGCTAAGAAGATTAAAGATCGTGAGATGAGAGAGCGTAAGAAATTTTGAAATCATTCTATTTTTTAATCTAAAACTTTCAGATTGCAAGTCATACCGGAAGTCAACCTTCAACTGGTTAAAAGCAAATCAAGACAAATGGACCGAAGTTATGCCTGAGAATGTGTATCCGAAGAATGTAGATTACGCAGAGGAGATGACTGGTGGTTGCTCTGGATTTGCATCGAACGTTCTCAATTGGCCAGAGGATATGATACTCGGAAACCCAAGACACACGAAGAGAGGTGGAAAACTCACAAGTGCCGATGCTCTTCAGTCCGTATTCCTCGTGGCAAGCCCAGCTGATGTGTTCCTTCGATTTAAACAAAAGCAAGGAAGAAATCCACCAAAATCTGGATTAGATCAAGAAGCTTGGAACGAGACTGCCGCTGAGCAAGTATTACAAGCCTGGCAGAGAAACTTTACCAAGTCGCTCTACACACACGAAGCCAATTTTGATGCTGATGGAAACGAAAGAAGAACTTTGCATCCGCTTGCATCTACTTCTATCGCTGACATGCTCGAAGAGTTTTGCCAGTTCAACTACACCATCATTTTCGCGGGATATGCTTTGATGCTTGCTTACGCTATCATCACCCAAGCTCGATTCGACAGCTGCCTTCCAGCTACCGAGTCTTCTATGGGACTCGCTCTCGCCGGAGTTTTGGTTGTCACATTCGCCTCTGTCGCTGGACTTGGTCTTGCCACATGGTTTGGAATCGAATTCAATGCTGCCACCACACAGATTGTTCCATTCCTTACACTTGGAATCGGAGTCGATAACATGTTCATGTTGCTGCACAATTACCGTGACGTCGTGAAACTTGCCGGAGGACATGCTGAGATGGCAATCTTGATGAGAGAAACTGGAATGTCTATTCTTTGCACCTCCATCAACAACATCCTTTCATTCCTTACTGGAACACTACTTCCTATACCTGCACTCCGATCGTTCTGTGCACAATCCAGCATTCTTCTCACATTCAACTTCATCGCGATCCTGACTATCTATCCAGCCATCATTTCAATCGATCTTCGAAGAAAGAAGGCCCAACGTCGTGATTTGCTCTGCTGTTTGTACGGAGACACCCGAGAGGAGTCTTATTCAATGATTTCGAAACCGAAGATCCCTAGCAAACGAATCATTGGAGCGCCATCAGAAGCTTCTATAATGCAACAGTTCGATGGAATCACGCAAGCACAGATGGCTTCCAGCGACGATCCAGCTCCATACTCACTTCATGCGTTCATTCGGTACTACTATATTCCATTCATTTCGAGACCAGCTTGCAAAGTGGGAATCATTATCGGATGTCTTGTTCTCCTTGCTGCTTCAGTTTACGGAATGCAACAGTCTACACTCGGATTGGAACTTGGAGATGTTCTCCCTGAGCACACCGCTCCAGCTCAATTCTTAAGAGCCAGAGACAAGTATTTCAGGTATGATATAAATATAGTTTTCTGTTCAATAAATTGTCTTTTCAGTTTCTACCCAATGTTCGCCGTGATAAAGGGACCTAACATTGATTACGCACACCAACAACGTCAGATAGATAACTACCGACAATCTATCGGATCTTCAAAGTTCGTAATCAAGAATAAGAATGAGGAGCCATCAGAGAAGTATTGGTTAGGACTGATGAGAGATTGGTTGATCAGTATTCAACGTGGATTTGATGAAGAAGTTGCAAAAGGATCATTCGATTTGGTAACCGGAACTGTTATCGCAGCTAATGTCTCTGAAGATGCTCGGATAGCTCACGCTCTCATGTGCTCCCATGGAGAACTATACGAGTGTGCTGGACGAGTAGGAAAGATCAGACTAGTCGATGCCAGTGGAATAATCAACTCTGATGGATTCTATAACTACTTAACTGCTTGGTTCAACGTGGATCACATGATGTACTATGTATCGCAAGCTTCCTTCTTCCCAACTCCACCAAAATGGGAATTGGTCAAGGAAAACAAAGAAAACTTCATCCCAGCTGCCAAGCCACTCGTTTATTCGCAAATTCCATTCTATTTGACTGGTCTCACGGATACAGGAGTGATTGTTGAAGCTATCAAGGACATCAGAAGTGTTTGCGATCGATTCACTGATCAAGGACTTCCAAATTTCCCACAAGGAATTGCCTTCACATTCTGGGAGCAATATCTATTTTTAACGGGAAATCTCATGCAAGCCATCTCGATCATCACCATCTCTGTCTTCTGTGTCATTTCCGTTCTTCTGTTCAACCCATGGGCAGCGCTGATGGTCGTTTGCATTCTGGGAATCATGACTTGCGAACTTGCTGGTTTTATGGGACTCGTTGGAATCAAGCTCAATCCGGTATCAGCCGTCACACTGATCACTGCTGTTGGAATTGGAGTCGAGTTCACAGTTCATGTTGTCGTCTCTTTCCTAACCGCGCTCGGAACCAGAGCGCAACGTACTTCATCAGCCGTTGATCGAGTATTCGTTCCTGTTATTCACGGATCGTTCTCTACACTTCTCGGAATTTTGATGCTTGGATTTTCTGAATTTGAGTAAGTTTTTCATTTTCAAAAGAAAGTTCTATTTAAAATCGTTATAGGTTCGTTGTCAAGTACTTCTTCATCGTGATGACCGCTCTAATCGGAACAGGCATAATAAACGGTCTCATTTTACTTCCAGTTCTGCTGTCTTGGTTCGGTCCCAGACGAGAAGTAAGATTTATCGATTCCTTTGGTTCTTTCATATTCTCTTGTTTCAGATTTCACCTGCCGATGGAAAAACAACACTCGCTCTTCCGCCGCCACTGCCAAAGAACTTGAATTCATCTCGGTCTGGCGGTGATGATTCGGATGAAGACGACGAGCCAAGTGGCCTTGTGATGTACTCCAGACAAGCACCTCCATCAAGAACATCAGGAGGAAGACGTGGAACACCAGGCGGAAACAACTCATCACGTCGGCTTCCAGCCGTATAGCAGTAGTAGTTTGCTCTGAAATTTGGAGCATATTAAACTTACACACACAAATGTAAAAATGGGTAACTTTCTTTCTGATGAATGCAAAGCATTGCGAACTTTTTCTTCTCCCAATGTTTCGTTGTCATATTTTCTTCTAAATTATTGTTTTGTCATTTTCTCTTTTGCTAACGGTCGACTATACATTTTCTGGTGACATTCTTCTTCCTTCCCCGTATAACACTTTTTTATAGTTGTCTATGTTAATTACGATTTTGAAAATATCTCCCTAATTAACATAGCCGGCTATATAGAATTCAAAAACTTCACAAACAACACTCTAGCACTCATTAACATCTTCAAAACTGAAAAAAAAACTAGATTTTGCGCGGTTTTCAAACGAACTAAAGCTTTACTCTGTTATAGTATTCCTTTTTCATCTCTTCTTTTTTGCATCCATATCGTCGATTGTATTGACAGTATCTCTTTCTCAACATCGAAGGGATTCTTTGTCGAAAAATAGATATTATCATAATAATCATCTCGATTAAGAAAAGGTGAACGATAAGAGCATTGAAACGTTGTACACAGCCAAGCTGTATCGTTCACTTTTTTCGTATTCTCTCTCCCATTGCACCCACTTGGTCTTTTTCTGCCGTTTCCTTTTTGTTCCCCTCTGTGAATGATCTCAGCAAGCTTTGGGAATTTAATTATTTTATTAGCACAAGCAAGGATTGTTTCTCTCCGTCCCTCTCGATTTCGGTTTTTTTCCTTTGCCCCAAGCCCCCCCCCCCCCATATTTTGTCTCGAATTTTTTTCGGATGAATAAACTTTTTTCTAACATGAATCACGTTTTGGCTCTTGTTACAAATGAATAAGAACGGTAAAATCTATAGAGGTATCCATATTGTGGCTCGTGAAAAAAAAACTGTTTTTCACATGGTGGACGAGGTTTCGCAAGAATTCGGCCACCATCTGTTAGTTTCATAACAATTCAAAACCTGTTCTACAGCCGGATTGACGATGAACGATGCTTTCTCCAGACCCATTTGCTGATTGCCAAGATCATGATGACTCTTTTGAAAACTTTCTGCCGACTCCCTCAACTTCGAGAAGGCGAAGTGAGGCCATAGTGTTATCAGAAGAAGATTCTTTGGATGGATTGATAGGAAGTGAACAAGTAACAGTAATCGAAAACGTACCAAACGATACGATTTTAAAAGAACAAGAAGATGATGATTCTGGAGATGAACAAGTCAATTTAGATGATACTATAACTCGTATGTTGGAATCAAGTGATGAGGAAGAAGCAGATATAGAAGTGGAGCCGCAAAATGATGCACTTGCCAATCTTTTGAGGTCTTTCACAGAAGGAACGACAAAAAGAGGGCATGCAGAGCAAGAAGAAGAAAGGGAAGATGATCCCAATATGAGCATAGACGTTTTTGGAGACTTGATGCAAAATAAGCCAGAAGAAGAGAAAGAGGAAGAAGAAGAAACACAAGTGTTGCCAAATTCTCGAATGATTCCTGTACATTTGCCAAATCAAAAAGAGGCGATCACTAGAAAACGACGATGCGAACCTTCTGAGCCATCAACTTCCACGGCTCCTCTTGGCACAGATGGTCCTGTTGGAGTCGTCAGTTCAGATACTGGAGAATACTGGAATCAACCGAAAACGATAACTGTTCATGGGCAAAATTTTGAAATCAACAGTTTTGTAAGAATCGTTTTTACAAAAAATGTGGAAAAACCAAGAATTTCTATTTTTAGAACGATTATATGAGGATGAAGATCACAAAACTCAATCATCAGGTGAACAGTGAGAAGTCGAAACCATACGAAAAAGTATCTGAAACGTTGAAAGGATATTCCGTTTTTGTAAACGGATACACAGGTAAACGGATACACTTATTTTTTTGAAAATTAGAACCTTCCCAACGAATTCTGCCTTTCAGAACCCCCTGCACTCGTCATTCGAGACCTTATGATGGCTCATGGAGGAGAGTATCATTGCTACTATCAGCACGGAATCACCACCTATACAATAGCATCATCCATCGCAACTGCCAAGGTTAATCGAATTCGAGAAAAAGAGATTTTCATTAGGGCTGACTGGATTACTGAATCGTAAGACTACATATCCCTTAATCTAATTATTATTTTCTCGTTATTCAGAATAGCAGCTGGAAAGCCACTCGATTATCGAGATTTCTTAATATACGAAAAAGGGGCTCAAGAAAAAGGACAAATGCAACAATTTCTGAGGTCTTCCAACGATAAACCAATTGAGACATCATCGACGTCCTCTTCTTCTGGATTTCTGGATGCTCGAAATCCCAATTTTATTCGAGATTATTATGCAAGGAGTCGGTTACATCTCATCTCAACTCTCGCTCAAGACATGAAAGATTTCGTGGCAAATTTAAAGTTGGAAGGAAAACTAACAGCAAAGTGTTTCCTAGAAAACGAATTAGCTGAAATGGGTAGAAAACTGGGAACAGGAACAGGAATTCAAACGAATACTGTATTCCACGTGGATTTGGATTGCTTCTTTGTCTCGGTTGCAGTTAGAGATAGAGTGGATTTAAGAGATAAGGAAGTGGCTATTACGCATAGCAAAGTGAGTTGAAAAGAAAATTTGGTACATATTCAACTCTTTTCCTCACAGGGAACCATCTCAAATAGTATGAGTGAAGTGGCATCGTGCAGCTATGCAGCTCGTAGCTGCGGTGTCAAAAATGGAATGCTGGTGAGAGACGCGCTTCAAAAGTGTCCCCAACTCACTCTCCTACCCTATCAATTCGATGACTACATCCAAGTTAGCCGTCAGATTTATGAAATTTTGGCCAGCTATACATTGGATTTGCGAGCAGTGTCTTGTGATGAGATGTATATAAACATGAGCAGCTTGTGTGAAAAATACGGTATAAGTGATCCAACAGCTTTCGCAGACCACATTCGGAAAGTGATACGAGAGAAAACAAGGTGCCCAGCAAGTGTTGGAATCGGATCAACGAGTTTATTGGCCCGTCTAGCAACAAGACACGCAAAACCGGATGGAGTATTCTGGGTCACAGAAGAGAAGAAAACCGAATTCATGTTAGAAGAAAAGGTCAGAGACCTTCCAGGACTTGGTTATGAAATGATGAATAGGCTCACTTCATTTTTTGGTGAACTAAATAATTGCTACAAGAAATTTTTATAAAGATTAATCTTACAGGAGAGATCACGACATGTAGCCAACTTCAACAAAGAACAGAAAGAGAACTGATTCCAGTTTTTGGACCGAAACTTGCTACAAAAGTATTCAATCAGTGTCGTGGAACTGAAGAAGATCCAGAAAATTTTTGGAAGACGCATGTTAGAAAATCAGTTTCTTGTGATATTAATTATGGGATTCGGTTCAAAAAGGTTGTTTTTAACATTGTTTTCTTTTTCATTCCGGGTAGTTTTCAGAAAGAAGAAGTATTGCAACTGATGACAGCAATTGGCGCAGAACTGGAACGGAAGCTTCTTGATTGTAAAATGAGTGCAGGATCTATAACATTGAAATTGATGGTGGGTTATTGTACTGGATTTTTAATTATTCCTTGTATTAGGTCCGATCTGCTGATGCTCCAGTTCAAACGTCAAAGTTTATGGGTCATGGACGCTGCGATACTTTTACAAAAACCTGCAATATTTCTGTATCCACCACCAAAGGCAAAATCTTAACATCGGAATGTATGAGACTTTACGCAAAAGTTTCTCCGAATACAGAAGACCTTCGGGGAGTTGGAGTGACTTGTGGAAAACTGAAAAGCAAATTTAGAAAAGATGCAGCAAGTGTAGTTCAGGAAATGTTTGGAAAAGGAAAGAGAGATCCAAATGCTGATGATCCTATACAGAAAAGTTAGTAATTAAGTATTCAAAAATCTCATAAATCGATTTCAGAAGCTGTCCAAGAAGAACCAATCGAATTAGAGGAAGATGATGACAGGCACATGCGGAACAAAGTGGTGAATATTCCATCCACGTCAAATCAGAATCAGAAAACAAGGAACATAGCACATCCGACAGATGTGCGGATAGCGAATGAAATAACTCTTCCGGGATTGATAAAGCTATCAAAATGCTACATAAAGAAATCAGTAAAGACCTATGAAGATGTAGAAGACGAGGAATTGGAAGAGAAGTGTCTGGCAGAATTAGGAACTTTCCTTCAGGATGGTGAGCTAAAATGCCCCTTCTGTTCGATAATATAAAAATTTCCAGCGCCAGCTAAACATAGTGTTCTGGGTGTCTTAGAAATTCTGGAGGAGCTGCTCAACGCAGGAAAGCTATCAACGTTTCAATCTGTATTTCGAAAATTTGAAGAGATGTCAATGAATTCGACTACTTACCACGTGGATTGGTTTGCCGCCTTCCATTCATTGGTGCCGCATATCAAAGAAACATCGGAACGTCTTCTCGAATTTCCAGTAGATGTACTACAAAATGTGATAGGAAAGTTAGGAACCACGGCGACTGGTACTGCTGAATCTCATCTGAAACCAACTGCACCTTAAGAAATATTTGTACCTGAAACTACTAGTCATACTTATAATCAGATTTGTGAATAATACTATCGTTTTCTTTTTCTTTATTCAGTTTTGTGGAAATAAACTAATTTTTAATCACTTTGTTTTCGTGCGATCACAATGAACATAAGACATATTAGGTTGGCGGGAAAGTCTTTGTCACTCTGTTTGTTTAATCACTGTTCTCGTATATGGAGGCTGTGTATGATATCGACTCTAGTGAATAACAAGGTGATAAGAACCTTCCATATAAACAAGTCCCCATCTCCTTCCCTGCTCCTCATCTGAATTGAAACGATATGTTTGTTCCCACTGCTATTCACATCAGACATGTTTTGATTTACCTCTTCCTATCTCACACCACGATGAAGGATTCGGAAACTTTCTTGAAGAATGTGTACAACACACATGCCCCTCACTACAATACTATTCGCAATTGGTTCCATCGTTTCGAAAAAGATGACTTCTCGCTCGATGAAAAGGATCGCTCTGGGTGACCCCGTGAGTTGGATTTGGACAAGCTGAAGCACGCATTGCAATCGGATCCATTTCAATCTAGCCGTGAACTAGCTGTCACATTCGGAGTTCACCATAGCACAGTCCTTGAAGGTTTGAAGTCTCTTGGAATGAGAAAACTTTTTGGTCGATTCATACCTCATCACCTGACTCAAGCCAACCTTGACCGCCGAGTCGACGATTCGATTACTCTTCTCACTCTCCACGCGGGCGATCGATGGCTGGACCGGCTAATAACCGGAGATGAGAAGTGGGTCTTCTACGATAATCACCACAGGAAATCCCAGTGGGTTGGAGAAGGAGAGAGCCCACAGGATGTCCCCAAACCCGACCTTCATCCGAAAAAAGTTATGCTCTCTGTGTGGTGGGGAGTGGACGGCCCCATCTACTGGGAACTTCTGCCCGAGGGCAAAACAATAACTGGAGACCTCTACACTACTCAACTACGAAACCTCAAGAAAGCAGTCGACCGTTCGGCCCTGAAAGACAAGAAAGTGTACTATCAACATGATAACGCTCGCCCACATGTTTCGAAACAAGTGAAGCAGGAGCTGATGGGATATGGATGGAATGTTCTCCCTCACCCCCCGTATTCTCCTGATCTTGCTCCTTCCGACTATTGGTTATTTGGCGATATGACACGTGCCTTCGAAGGAAGAAGCTTCAATTCCCGTGGAGCGGTCGAAGCGGCACTCAAACAATACTTTGCCTCACGCCCGGCTGGATTCTACCGCAATGGAATCCATAAATTGAGGGAACGTTGGAGACATGTTGTTGATAATGATGGACAATATAATTAATTATTCGGTTATTTTTTCTTTGAGAAATAAACTATTGAAAAAGTGACAAAGACTTTCCCGCCAACCTAATAAAAGAAGAAAATACAATACAATACAAAAACGCTTCTCTCCATCAGACACAGCTCAAATTACAGGTGAACAAGAAAAAAGTGTCTTCGCGAACTCTGTATTAAAAACTGGAAAAGGCTTCGAGGTCAAACTACTCTAAGAGCACAAATGAGCTCCGAGCGCGGAAAACTACTTCGGTACCGGAGCAAACAATCCACACGCTTTTGAGCATTATTGCCGCGAGCAACTCTCATTTCATAGTTCTTTTTTAATGTGCCGTTTACATATGCATTCTGCCTGGTTGCTTGCTTATAATTATTATTGTTGTGCGAAAAAATTGGAGCGAGAGAGTATTTTTTTGCAGTCTGAATACGGTAAGCACCTCGAAGCGACAATCCTAAATAGCGCATAGTCGGTGAAGACGCAGAGAAATATTTCGATTAACTGTCTGCGTCTCAACTCCAATTTTTTCGGACAACAATAATAGTTGTGGTTGATATATCTCATGGATTACTGTAGTTTTCATAAATTTGATAAAGTCATCTTAAATTTAATAATTGAGGATACTGTATCGTCTAGTGCCCAAGTTTCTTTTGCAAGTAGCATGTTCCCCATGTTACGTATTATTCTTTCTTGTAAGTAAGATTGGAGGTCCCACAACGACAGCTGCAGTAACCTAAAAATTAATTTTTATTTTTCGGATTTATCTTCTCAATTTTCTTGAGTTTTCAATCAATCTTTTCACGAGAATTTTTATTTTCGGGCTTGTTCGGGAAAAAATTATAGAAAGGAAAGCAGCTGAAAAACGAGAAAATAAATCCTCAAAGTAAAACATAATTTCAGGTTACTGTAGTTGTCGTTGTGGGGCCTTCGGCCACGACTACCGGATTTTTTTCTTCCGCAGCTCAGATTTTCGCCTGCCAGCATAATATGTGGCTGAAGCTGAACTCCCCTGATACATCGTTTCACCAATTTGTTATCAATCTGATTTCTTCCTTCTCACTTTACTGCTCATCCGTCGTTACTTCAATTCTTCTTTTTCCGTTCTTTCCGTTATTTCTTCTTCTTTCTTCTTCTTTCTTCAATATTGTCTCTCCGTCTCTTCATCGGTCGGTATCACTTTTTGCGCGGATCCCTTCTTAATATTTTGCACATTTGCATTCCGTCAGCTGTCTATCCTGATGATTCCGGGGGAGGACGGAATATATCTTCGAGTAGAGAAAAGAGTTAATGTTATTGACCACTCTTCTTCTTCTCCACTTCTTCCGGATTCTCACCTTTTTGTTGTCTTTTCGAGAAAATTCTAGATTCCAGTTGACCTTTTTTCCTTTGTGATTGTAAGCTTGCCCGTTCACCAATTTTTAAAATTTGTGCAAATACCTAATTCCAATTTTTTAGGGGTTTCATTTTCAAGGTTATGATTTCAAGTTCATGTTAGCCGTATTTGCAGAATGACGTTTTTCAGGTGGCTTTTTGGTATTTAGTTTTCTTGTGACTCATGCCAGAAACAGTTCTCATGACGAATTTTATATAATTCACTAAAACAGAAATGAACAAAAATTTATGACAAAAAAGGTTCCAGATTCAACTTGGGTCTGACTTTTTCAAAAAAGGCCAAATTACCCTAAAACCTGTAATAGAAGGGCTTCTACACTGTCAAGTTTGATCTCATTTATCTCGGTTCCCTTAAAAGGTATAAAAAATGTGTCAACTCAACTGACAAAACACTTATGATATTTTGATGAACAATTTATCAGTCAACAACTTTTTCATATTTTGGTTTAAAGTCAAAAGTCAGGAAGCCGTTCTATTACAGGTTTTACGGGATCAAGTTCTCGAAACCTTTTGACACTTTCCTACCCCTCTAAAACTTGTCACATTTTGAAATGCAGCATTTCCCCCTGTATTCTCCATTTTTAGTGCAGCAGCCATGTTTTCTTGAGACAGGGAGACATAGACAGTCTCCCGCCCATATCAACAATAATATTGTCTTAACATACCCGCGCACTCTCTACATTTCGTTCAGTTTCTCTCCGCTTGT